TTGTGTTCCTGCGTTTTTGATTTTGTGGTCTGTTTTGGTTTGTTTCTGGACTTCTCCCAGTATAGGTTCCTTAGCTTCTGTTTCTTGCCTGCTACGTTTTTGTTTGTTTTACTTACCGGTTTAATAAAGTTCACCTGTATCTGACACTTCCTGCATCTTGGGTCCTACTTTCAACCTCCACTCGTCTGCCACTGCAGACATGACAGGCGATATGTGCCCACAGAACATAATCCAGCAGATCATGCGTCAAGATCAATCCAAGCCTCTCAGCTTACTAATACGAACCAGCTGTCTGGACCAGCAATCTTGTATGAACAATACAAAAGCAAGACATCTTCAGTGTTGTTGAACCAGACTCAGATAAAGCGATCTGGCCACGAGTCACTTGCTGTGCCAGTAAGAAAGAGGAAAAGAAACTCGCTCCAGAAAGGTTTGAGAAATTTTTTTCATGGAACTCTTTGCAATGACCAGTTGCCACACTTATTCATATTGCTCAGTCCATGACCCAAATTGCTAAGGAATGCAAAGGATGGCATCAGTGTTCAAAGCCACAGTTGTCCAAGGCAAGGAGTGTTATTATTCGCTCTGTGCAGACAGCTAGTTTCTCTGAGGGTGCGATTCGAGCGGCTGGAATATGGCTGATAGGTGGCAAAAGATGCATAGGCAGTGTTATTCATGGATGTGTCATTTGTCGGAAGCTGCGAGGCAGAACTGAGAGCTAGAAGATGTCGCAATTGCCAGAGGAACAACTTAGTAGTTCTTCCCCCTTTACTTACAGAGGCCTGGATGTCTTTGGGCCTTGGAATGTAGTTGGAAGGCGCACAAAAGGAGGACTAGCCTACAATAAGCGCTGGGCAGTGCTATTTACTTGTCTAAGTACTCGTGCTGTTCACATAGAAGTGATTGAGTCCATGGATGTTTTCATTAACTGTCTATTCTTCTTCTTTGCTATCTGGAGCCGGTGAATACAACTGCACTCTGGTGGCGCATGGGAATGCACGATTGGAGTTGCAAGGAGGATCCTGGACTCTATGCTAATGCGCACAGATTGTTCCCATCTCACACACGAAGTACTGCGCACTTTAATGGCAGAAGTAACAACTATTATTAACTCCAGGCCTGTAGTTCCTGTCTCTTCAGATGCAGACTCACTTGAAATACTAGCCCGGCTATGCTCCTTACACAAAAGGCAAGCGCACCACCTCCACCGGGGAAGTTTACAGAGAAGGATCTCTACAAGCAGCAATGGCAGCAAGTCCAGCACCTAGCAGACCACTTCTGGAGACACTGGAAAACAGAGTATCTACACACACTCCACGCACGGGGCGCTAATGCGCTAACTCACTAACAGAGTGTTGCCACGTTAATGCGGTTATGGAGTTAGCGTCATTTTAATGAGATTAACGCTGACATCACTAGTATTTTCATATTATGAAACTATTAATTTTGTGTTATTCAAATGTTGCATGAAAATGCATAGTAAACCACTGTGTTGGACTACTGCGCAGTGGCTGTACTGCTCACGGTCAGTGTTATATCAAGTGTTCAATATTCCAAGTGAGAACCGTCCATGTCACAAGGTGAATTTTTTGACAGTAACTGCTGTTTTTTCCACTGTTAGCTGTCATTAGGCATTAAAACTTTCTTTGAAGTGGAGCTCCAACACTTTGTAAATAAACTCTCATGAGGTGCGAGAATTTAATTAAACTGTTTATCAGAGAAAAAGTGTGACTTTTCAGACACTCTAACCAGACATTAGAAGGTACAATGTTAACTTATACTCAGTAGTTGTTGTTGTTGTCAGCTCTGGACTGCTGACCACAACAAACGGCAACAAGCCACAATAAACAGATCCAAAGTGAATCCTGGCCAGATGAGCTGATACAAGAACTGATTTGCTCCAGATCTATGATCCTGATCTGGTTCTGATCCAAATTCATGGGCTGCTTCCTCCTGAGGCCGCATTTGTAGGCCAATTTCATCACAGCAACGCGCCGAAGGCTGTCCAAATTCGTAGACTCCTCCGAGTGCAGCCGTCCTCCTTTTCCCCGAATTTGAAGGATGGGTCAGATGTGTCCTTCGTGGCCCACCATATCCCAGAATTCATAGCGCGGCCCAGCCAAACTCCAGTTTCCAACAATGGCGGCCGCTACTAAGTTTTAAAATTACTGTTATTAATCTTTCTGGGTCACAAAATAAACTTTTAACATATTTTCAGGCGAAAAATGTAGCTGTGTAAACTTCAAATATCTGCTCGGTTTATCAAGATATCACTTATTTGCAAAAGTGCTTCGACGTTTTTGGAGACGTCTGTTACCCACCAGCTCGATAGCTAGCCGGGAGCTCGAGGGTCACTGAAGCCGCCGAGAACGGCACAACTCCCGGCACATCATTTTCAGATCACCGCGGACTTTCGCTACTCAGGTTAAACGTAATATATAAGTCACTTAGACAACCTAAATTTTTATTATTTGGCTTTTTTCAGTGTTTTATTTGTTCGTGAGTAAATCGGTTTGGCTGAGATTAAAGTAAGATGAAATAAAACTTTATTAATCCCTTGAGTGGTTTTCACACAGCTGAATAAACGTCAAACAGAAAACTGATTAAACAGAAGTATGAGACAGTCGAGAGTTCACTCCAGTGTCCTGTTATACTTTAGATAGCAAGGAGCAGACGGCCGAGTTTATTAAACTCCACCGAGACAGCGGTGACGCTAATCAGAAAGATAGACCGTCCAATTCCACAGCCGTTTACTTCCAGCCTACCCGACCTTCTGAGGACCCGGGTCCTCAGGAGGATGCAGCCCATGAACAAAACGGCGAGGAAGCAAAACTGAAACACAGGACACAAGAATTTCAAAGTAAAACAGGAAATATAAGACATGGAAACACCAACTATACAAGGAGACACGGCAGACAGAGAAGACAGGGAGAACATGGAGCACAGAGACAAGAGTAACTAGATGTGGAACACGGGGAAGGCAAAGTAACAGAAAACTAAGGACTATAAACTAAGACTATAACATAAACAGAAAACATTAATGAGAATCAAAACCATTAAATCCAACAAATCCAAGAATATAACTTCCACTAGAGGGCAGTGCAAGTACCTCCCCAAATAAATTGGTTGCCAACTGCCCGTAAAACAGAAGAGGACGAAGAAGAAATTACATAATACTCATGCTGTGAGTAAAACAATGCAGTGCCTAATAGCAAAGATAAATATTTAAAAAAATAAAGAAAAAGTAATCTGTCTGACCTGGGTCTTGGAGAAAACCCCAACCCAGATGAAGGCCCTAGCATGAGCTGTGGTCAGAAGAAAGCAAAGAAGGTAAACTGTGGACAAACCAAGCCAGTTCCACAATGCCTGGTGTGTGGGGGAAATTATCAATATGTCTTTTGTGACATTTTGTTTGCTGGTGTGCTGTGTGATTTTTCTAATGTGAAATATGTGATGCCCTAGCTGCACCATGGAGATATCGCAGTACAGAAGACTGAGATGTACTTCTTAAAGGGAAGCTGTTAAAAAATAAAACTCTATGCTATCAGTACACCCAGATAAAACTAACTAAATGCCTAATGCATTGGTAGGTTGTCTACCAGTACATTAGAAGATTTAGGTGCTGTAAATTTGTAAAAAATTAAGATACTGTTAGCAGAAAATAACTATAGTCACTGTCTGTTGTTCATATATTCTGTTAATTTAATGCCATCATACCCAATACAATAGAATTAGACAATTAAAGTTTTAGCAGTGTTTTTCCAGTGCAGTTGAAGGTAAAATTGGCTAAATACATTCACTATTTCAGCAGATCTGGGTAACAGTAGCTGTACTCACATATTTTACTGTGAAAATGTATACACATTGGTTAAACCACATACACAACTGTATATGGTGTTTAAATATTGTAAATCAATGATATAGACAAAAAAACATCTTGTGGACTTAAACTGAAGGTTCAATTTTGATTCTAATTGAGCTGAAGTAAACTGACTGTTGTCACCATGGCAACACAGTCTCCCTGGAGAGTCTCTCTGGAGACCGAATGCAGTAATGACAACTTTTTGAGTATTCTCTCATATTTGACTACAAATGAGTGATTTTTTTTATTCTTAGTCAATTTATCAGATTCAGCTGTCCTTATATTTATTTATTATACTTATTATATTTCTCAGCAGCTGACCCAAAGACCATTAGAGACTGAGGAGGCATTCAGGAAAGCTGGCGGGTGTTAGTGTAAATAAATGGTAAATGGCCTGTATTTTATATAGCGCTTTACTAGTCCCTAAGGACCCCAAAGCGCTTTACATATCCAGTCTATCTAGTGTAAATAAAGACGCACAAGCTAAACACTAAGCTAAACACTGTTTTTCTATCGTCTTTTACAGTTTTAGAGTGGGAGATAAACTGGACACTTCAACGTGCTGAACTTAATTTGTATAATGAACATAGTTTGACTGGGTTTTGCTTTGTATTTGAGATAACAAACCGCAGTGTGTAATCAGTGTTACACAACAGCTTGTAAAACTGTTTAATATACTTTTCGTTCAGACGTGTGGATGAGCACCATTGGGTAATAGCAACCAGTCATCAACCTCTGGGACTAAAATTAAGCCAAGGCTCAAATCCTTAAACTTACAGTTCCTCATACATCCAGCGGGGGCTCCAGCAGTGAGTCAGTCCCCATAGATTTCCATGTTAAAATTTCACAGCAGAAACAAACATGTTTACAGCCAGACACACAAGCTGGTTTGGTCTCTGTGGATAATACCCCCCTACATAACAACTGCATGGTGGAGGGTTATTTGTCTCACCTGCTGAAATTGTATTAAGGTTTAAAGTTTGCATTGTTAAAGGATTGGGCCATTATTGTGAATGTGACCTCAGGTTTACTTGCTCTGACTTGTAGTCCCCCAGCACCCCCAAAAACCAAACCTTGTCCTTGATGTGCATCAGGTAGTATAATATGGTGTTGATGCAATACTCTGCAACTCTCTTACCTTCACCCTCCCTGCTCTTCCTCCCTCCTGATCCCCTCTTCATCACCTGTCTACCTGATGCAAACAGGTTGTTGAGTTCGTCTAGTGGACTTGTTGGAGTCTGTGACCTCACGGACATGTTCTGCATGGACCCATGTGTGGAGGAGGAGTTACTGAGTTTAGCCCCTCCTTCACCTGCCCTGTGTGAAGATGATGAAGATGAAGATGAAGAGCGAGGCATACTTCCTCCTGCCATCAGGGTGTCATACGGTGGTGGCCTCTTCAGGCTCAGAGGTGTTAGCGAGCGTCCCATGCTGACAGGAGATGGGCATGCTGATTGGCTGCGGGGGTAACCGTGACCACCGTGTGTGGTGCTGGATGACTTGTAAAGGCTGGAGGGGAGAGGTGGAGCTGAGGAGCGACCAGAAGATGTGATGGTATGAGTGGAGGGCATGTCCCGGTCTCGTTCTTTGCGGTAGTGAGTGGAGCTCTGCGGCTGTTCAACACTGCCCGACTTGCTGTAGGAGACGTTTTCTAACATGGGGAGGCGTGTGACGTCCAAAGGGGTGAGGGGGGACTCATCTGAGTTTGGGGAGCACTGAGCGGGGGCAGGTGGGAAGATGAGCAGTGGTGGGCGGTGAGTCAGGAGATTTGGGAAAGGTGGAGGAATGTCACAGAGTGAGCCGCGGGATGACCAAGCTTCAGGGTCAATGATGGCAGCATTTGTGTCCTGCAGAAAGTCTTCCAGCATTGGGTACTTCATCTCCTCGTACACCGATTCATTCTGGTCGTCCTCCTCTGCTTCCTGACCTTTCAGCCCTCGCAGGATGTTTCCCACCATCTCAATGTAAACTGGCTCCTCTTCGTCTGTGTCCCTGGATGCTGGACTCTGACTTTGGGATGAAGATTTGTCCCACTGCAAGGAAGACTTCTTGTTGCCATGGTTACGGATGTAGCACTCATCAAAGGAGGTGCTGAGCTGAGTATTGGGATTCCTTTTGGGTTTAGGTGGAGGCATCTTCTTGGAGGCATCTTCAGAGTGCAGGAAACATTGAGCTGCAGACAGAGAGCGAACAACTGTCACAACACTTCTTCCATACCTTCTGAAAGCTACAAATTCCTTAGAGAACTATTTAAACTTCAAATTCAAGGGCAGTCATTTTTTCAGTCATCTTACTGACAGAAGAACTAGAATTACTTCAGACGGATACAATAAAAATATCTTCTGCTTTTCAATATAGTCTTAGGGATGGGAATTGATAAGAATTTAGCGAATCGGATTCTATTATCGATATTACTTCTTGGTTTTCATTGACTCCATTATGAAAGTCACCACCATCTCTAAGCAGCATATCAAAGACATTACATTCATGCACATGAATGACATACTGTGCATGTTGGAGGTATTTCTGCTCTTTGTTGCGATCCATGTCGGGGTCATTACTGAAAAAAGTAATTCTTAAAATGAATGCAGTACATAACTTAATTACTCCCAGGAGTAAGTAATTCTTTACAATACTGGTTACATTACTACTACTACTAATAATAATACATTTCATGTAAAAGCTGTCATGACTGTGTGCAGGCAGGAAGAGAGGACCCAAAATACAGGACTCACAGAGGCAAACGTAACTCAAAATATTCAGCTTTATTGCTGGAAAGCAACTGAACAAAAAATTAACTAAACTGAGAATAAAGAACAAACTAATCAGGCAGGCAGGCTGGCAAACAGAACACACAGTGAAAGTGAGGGTGCAACGCAACAACGAGCAGGGCAGGAGGCAGACACTAAATACAAGAGGTAAACAGAGCTAAGAAGAAACAGCTGGGAGAGACGGCTGACGCTGAATAAACTGACGAGACACAGAACTTAACAGACACAGACTCATGAGCACACATAATAACATCATGGACATCAAGGAAAACAGAAAAGTGGGACTAGGGCAGGCACAGAACAGAAACCTAACGAAACCTGGCAAATCCTAATGGAAAACACAATCAGAATAAACAAGATCGTAATAAAGAAACACAAAACACTGAGTCGCCAGACTCAGGACCATAACAAAAGCGCCTTTCAAAACACCCAAGGACACTGTACAGAACAAATAAGACAAGCATAAAAACAGGAAATGAACACAATAATAACACAAAGTTTAAGAGCATGGGGAAATTATACAGAGTAAGCTATCTTGAATAGGTGGACTTAAAAAGGGGGCAAGAAGTGATGTTTCTGAGGTCAGGGGGCAAGGAATTCTACTATTACTAATACTATTGCATTTCTCAGTAAAATGATCATGATCATGTCTTGATGCATGCTCAATCATCTAGGTAAGTAAATCTCCAAAAGTTGATTCTGTTCATCTGGATGTAGCGTTTTGTTTTAAATCCCAAAACACGCTGTGCCAAAAATTGGTCCACCCCAAGGATCAGGTCCCCCGACACAAACAGAGTAACATAGTGTACGTCGTTAAGTGCCAGGAGGATTGGCAGGATTTATACATCGGGGAAACCAAACCTCTGGCTAAGAGAATGGCACAACACAGAAGAGCTACCTTGTCAGGCCAGGACTCTGATTTTTGGAGTCTCATGATCACCATTTAGCAATATTAACCTATAGCTACAGCTACACACCAACAGAGATCTCTAACCTAAAGAGGACACACATATGATCGTTCTCTTAGTATTTAGGTAAGAATACAAAGCTGACAGCACAAAACAAAGATAAAAACCCTTATTGTCTATTATTACTATTATTGTCTTTACCTTACAATATAAAGCACATTGAGGCAACTGTTGTTGGGATTTGGCGCAATATAACTATATTAAAAAACAAAACAAATAACAGGTAAAAACGAAGGCTGCAGCCTGACTGCTCATCCGTTTGTTACCTGATGAAGTTCACTGGCAGCTGGCTTCACCGCAGCCCCAAAATAACGGCTCACTTGGCTGCAGTGTTGTTCTGTCTGTGCAGGTGTTTGCAAAGAGCTGAGATTGTGTTAGCAACACAGTGTAGCTGTTTCTGTCCTGGATGCAGTTTGCACTTTACCATCATGTTCATGTCCTTTAATGCAATAAAAATAAAAGTTCTGTTCATATGCATGCTGTAAACTGCCCTACTCTTTTCCTCCTCCTACAACTGAAATCACCTGATTGTAGCGCAAGTGCAAGAATTGATCGGTGGGATCAAGAGACAAGCAGCTGAACAATTCCAAAGAATTCAACTACTAGGAACTGGTTCTTCTAGAGAACTGGTTCTCGATTCTGATCCCTACAGTGTCTTCATTTAAAGGTCTAAGAAAAGGCTTCACACACTTCTTTAATAATAAAGTCAGGTGAAGTGAAACACATTGAACCTCTCCTTACGAATAATTTCCATCTGAGGCCACGGCAGCATCCTCAACAACGCCACATGGACCAATAGGAGGTCATGAACAATGTTTATAATGAGACCTTGTTGTGGCCATCACCTGAACATCAGTCCTGAACATGCAGATCTAATTTGGTGCCCAGATCTCCACCATGTGAGACATGTGGTTTTAATGACTCACCTTCAGCCTGTTCTAGCTTCTCTTTGGTGTCTTGGTGGTCTCTTCTTGTAACTCCACCCCCATCCACAGTTTCGGAGCTGCTGCTCAATTTGGTGTTGGGATCTCTCTTAGGTTTGGGTGGGGGTTGTTTGCGGCTGCTGCTGGAGTCATCTTCTCCTCCGCCCACTGAGTGGAGGGACTGCGATCTGACGGTGAAGCCCTGGTTGGCTGGGGGCAATCGGTCCTGTGGAGCTGGCATCGTCATGAAACCCATCCTGAAGTGTTTCCCAGAGTACGCCCCATCCGAGGCCGCGGCAACATCCTCACCAATCCTGGTTGCACCAAAGGGAGATCATGTTAGTGTGACTGTCCGATAACACAACAGCTTGTAAAACAAATACAAGACACTCATAATGTTTCTGAAGTGGTGATGTGTTAAACTCTTATTTACATTTAAAACACTAAAAAAATGTCCTAAATATCTCTCTCTCTCTCTCAGACCTAATTAAACTTCTTTTATAAAACTTAAAGAAGTCCAGTTGGTTTCAAGTTCCTTAGATTACCATCACCTGGATGACTGAGTACCTACACAGACATCCAGTTTACCAGAAGTATACCGTATCTAAGCCCATATGAGGTCTGTGTGCTTAAGAGTTTTCTATTGCGGTTTAGATGAGTTTACAGGAAACAACATGGTCTCATTTTAAGGTTTGATGCTTTCTACCTCTTGATGCTTTCTTCCTGCCGTCTTTTTTTCTGGTGTTTTTCATGCAGGTAGGTCCAATTGGTCTGGTTGCGAATGCGGTCGCTCTCTCTAGCAATGTCGGAGGCGTTTTGGATCACCAGACCATCGTATATTCGAAGTCCACTGTCCTCCACGTATTGGAAAAACCTCCTGAATGAAGATCCCTCCTCCTGTGATGTCATGACTCCCTAATGACCTGAGAGGAAGAGCAGAGAAAATCAGTTCACAGTGTTTGTTCCTGTTGGCAGTGCAGATCATGTTTGAATGGTGCAGGGCCACTCGTTAGATCAAAGGTCAATCATCATTCTGAGTGTAAGCCAAAGATTCTTAGTATAACTCATGAATTCCACCTTAAGACTGGTTAGAAGCTGGAAAGCAGCAACGCTGGCTCGTGTAACATCTGCTCACATCTTGTTCAGTTCAACCAGGAAGCCTCAGAGCAGAAGCAAGACAGTTCAGGTGATGTTAGCCTGCCCACAAAAAAACAACACATTTCTGGATTATTGTGACTGATTTCTGTTTTAGTCATCTCTCTTCTGCACAGCTAGGTCTTTGGATTCCCACCTGTGAATGTCCGGACACCGGGGAATGCTGATAATGTAGTCCTCTTTGAGGTGTCGTGCACAAACAATAAAATAAACAGCTGTTTATTCGTAACGAAGAATTGTTTTTTGCTATTTTATTAATGTATACATTTTTCCTTGAACTTATTGCTTGTTGATCTCTGCCTTGACATGCAACAGTATTTGCGATTAGTGATTATATTAGTGACGTTGACCATGTGGGTAGGTTGTGTGGGTAAGCTGCATAAAGCTATCTGGATCTGAACAGCAGCAGTATCATTAGCAGTGACTTTTAGCTCTAATCGTTCAGATCAGACATCTTCGTTTTTTATTTTCAAATACAGAGTGAGAGTTCACTGTCGACAAACACGTGTTCTCGTCTCTGCTTCATCAAGTATTCCAGGATACATTTCATTTCAACCAGCCAAGGTTTTATATGATCTTTGAAATGTAATTATTTTGTTCTTCTACTTAAAACCTGTCTGTTTTTAGCAAGTTTGATTTGATATTCACTTTTATTCTTGTGTAATTAGTGCCATTGACCTGTTAGCATATTCAGTACTTTGTTATTGGTCTTATATTTGTCATGATCCTGGGTCATTTTGACCCAGCGTTTTGTGTTTCCTTTTGGCATCACCTTGTGTTTTGGGTTAATTCTGATTTTGTATTGATTCTTAGGTTTGGTTTTTGTGTTTAGTGCTTCAGTGTTTATCAGCCCTACCTGTGTCTTCCCTCTGTGCTCTGTTCGTGTCCCTGAGTTTGTGTTGTAAAACAGTCTGTGCGTTTCCTGTTTTACTTTGAAGGTTTGTGTCTCGTTGTGTCTAATTAGGTTCAGCTGTGCCCCCCTCCTGTGTGTCATTCCCTCATTACCTTGTGTGTATTTATGGTGTGTCTCTGCCTGTGTTCCTCGTTGCGTCGTCTGCATTACTCTGTGTAACTCAATGTTAATCAGCGTTAATCAGCGTTTCCCTGCCCTGCTTTCTCCGTGTCATTTCTGTGTGTCTTCCGGTGTCCTTAGGTCCCCAGCTGTAACAATATTATTCATGTTTTAACCTGCTGTTTTATTGTGAAGCACTTTGGTATACCGTTGGTTTTTAAATGAGCTATATAAATAAATTTGTATTGTATTGTATGAATTTATTAAAGTAATCATCTGAATATGAGGAACGTGGCTCACTTTTATTCATCTTTATCATGAAGGCTTCATATTTGTTTCTCTGACTTTTAAATAAAGTACTGCTTTGAATTCATCTCGCCATATTGATCCCCTCCCCCACCTCTCTGTTTCTCAGCATCCATCTAAAAATGGAACAGGGAGTCAGCTGGCAGTAACCTAGCAACAGCAGCATCTCTCACAGGAGAATGATGTAATGCATCCTGTAAGCGGGTGAGAGAGGAGACACGAGGAGAGGATGAGGGGAAAGATTCGGATTTGCTACTCAGGGTCTCCCCTTTAGGATCTGTCAAGGTGGAGCTGCTTCACACTCTGAGTTGTAGCAGCCTCCTGAGAGGTTTACTGACTACTCAGTCCTTTACACCACCACCCACATTAACACATACAGCTTCATTACAGATTCTGACCCACCACACACTCCTTCTGGCTCACAGGTTAACGTAACCAGCATGTGTTTGTTGGAGGAAACAGGAATACCATACTCCTCACAGCAGGAAGCTCAAAACAGGAACTGTTCTGCTGTCAGATGGTAGTGAAGTCATGTTACCTACAGTACAACAGGCACTGTTCAGCACTGAGTGTTTTTAGTTGATAACGGTGCTGCTCCACCTATTTATTTCTGTGGGAACACCACCCTGAAGGTTGAGTTTATTCCAGTTTTTTATTTTATAGCCTCTATCCACTAATTCTGTCTAAAGCACCCATCCATCCATCCATCCATCTGTCCATCCATTAACATATATGTATCCATCCTTCCACGCATTATCCTTAACTCCTTAGCCTACTTTGGAACATGTGGGGTGGTGCCTATTCCAGTATAGGTGGGATACACCTGGACAGGTCAGTAGTCCATCACAGGTGAAACACAGTGATGTATCCACAGCAAGAATAACTGCTTAATGAGCAACTCTCTGATAGTGGGAGAAAACAGGGGTAAGAATATGATAAGTATGTCTTTGGCTGTATCTCTTTGACTTAGGCATGAACCTTCCCACACACACACACACACACACACACACACACACACACACGGTTTACACAGAATCACTTCCAATCTGAACTTTGACCTTGTCTTCTTAGGTGTGTTCACCTTTGTTTTTACACTGTTTACTCATGACTGACAGACGTCCCCTTCAAAATAAAAGCAAATCAAATGAAGTTTTCCCTTACTCTAACCCCAACATGGCAGCCATATTGAAGTAAAATGCTGCCGTTTCAGGTTTCACAGAAAGGCGAGAAGGATGTGAAGAAACTGGATATTTTGAACACTGTCAGTGGGAACAGCAGCAGCTCGGAGACAAGCAGAAACACCGAAGAGATGAAGGAAGATGACACTGAAGCTGAATGAGGAGCCTTACCTGATGACCAGCAAGGACTCAGACTCCCTCTTCCTCCTACTCTCCCTCCTTCCCTGATTCGATCCTATTTCCTTCCCTGCTTCCTATTATTTTTTCCTTGTTTCAGTCCTCCTTTCTTTCCCCCTTTTGGTCCTCGACTCCTTCCTTCCCTCCTTCAGTCCTCCCTCTGCAGGAACAAAGATGGAGTGATGAGGCTTCTGTTGTCCTCTCAGATCTCTGCAGCTCAGAGGAAATGACAGATTTTTTTGTCTGCATCGACGTTAATCCAGATCCACCCTTCAATGCCACTTTCCTCCCCCGTCCTTCCTTTCCTTCCTCTTCGCCTTTCTTCATTCATATATCCTTACAGTTGCAATAACCACCACTCAAATGCACACACACACACACACACACACACACACACACACACAGTCACACACACACAGTCACACACACACACCCTTCACCCTCACACACACACATCCCTGACGATGGTCGCCACAAGAAACGAGAGGCTGAAACCACAGCAACCTGACAGCATCCTTACTCTGCTGGCTCCTCCCCCTATTGCTGAAGGGTGGGTGGGGGTGGGGGGTAAGAAGGGTGAAGAAGAATGATGAGAGAGAGAGCAGCGTGTTTTTAATGTGTAAATGTGTGTGTTTGTGTGTGTGTGTGAGAGAGAGATAGATGATACCACACAATACTTTATCACAATTGTGTGATGTCACAGCTCCCACATTTACTGACACCTTTCACTGGGAGCAGGAAGTGTCCACAAAATAGTATAAAACACAAAATAAAAGCCCATAACAGGAGATACTAAACAAACAAACAAAAACCAGAAAGGACGTAAAAGTCTGGATCAGATAGGCAGCACTTAAGGCTTGGCTCCATTTTTCAGACTGCTTTGTTCTACATGAACCCCTCCATCATCACCCAAAGGTCCAAAACAAATAAAACTTGTGTCTTTATATATCATGTACCACCTTCTCACTACTAGAACCAGAACCTCTTCATTCAGTGTTCAGTGTCTGCTGAGTCTGTTTTCCTCCACATCTGAAACATGACTTTAAGTGTGCAAACATCATCTCAGAGAGAGTCAGGTGCAAGGAAATCAGGAGCCACTGTGTTTGTCGCTGTCACATTCGTGAAATATTACAACAGGACAGAAAAAAGCACTGAACAAAAGAGACAGAATAGATCCTCTTGCATTTCCTGGCTCCTTATTTCCTTCTTATTCCTCTTTTTCAGGTGGCTTCCTCCTTCTTTCTGTGTGTCACAACAGCATGACATCATCCTGCTTTTGCCCAATTACTTGCCACTGCAATTGTCACATGATTATATAATGTTGGTTTGACATGAATTTATTTCTGAGCAGCTTATTTTTTTCTTTCAGGGCTTATTTTTATTGTTTTATACAAAAATTACAGTGAAAGGGCTTATCAGGCATATTTTTTATTGACAAAAACACTGAATATCCTCGTCCTTCAGAGACTGACTGGTGACTTAACATTATATTAACCCATATCACACGATAGTAGGGTTATGGTTAGATTGGCGATAACTTTTGGGGATGTAAGAGTTAACTGATTAGAATTAATTGTAATTAAACCCCCCTACACACACACACAACAGCTGGGACAGACTTTAGGATGGATGGATGATGGTCTCAGCCTATTCTCACAACACAGTGCATCTTCATCATCATCATCATCATCATCATCGTCGTCTTTATCACTGGAGACCCTCAGCCCTCACACATGCTCTGTGCTGCGCATGCGTCTCGTTCTGCAGCAGTCCCTATGTGCTTGTGTGTGTGTGTGTGTGATTGCGCGTGCGCGTACAGGGCTCCTCACGTAGATCCGACGGATCGGTTTATCCCAGCTGTTGGTGTTTAGCCTTGATTAGCCCAGATCAGTTTAGTCCGGCATCGGTATGTCGTCCAGTCCGCAGGTCCAGACCCAGGAACCGAACCAAGATCAGAACCAGGATAATACGAAGGAGGAGGTGAAGGCGGAGGAGAAAGAAGAGAAAAAGGAGGAGAAACAGGAAAAGAAGGACGACAAGAAAGAAGCGAATGAAGCGAAAATGGAGAAGAAGAAGGAGGAGAAGCAGGATTCCTGGAAGGATTTCATCTACAACCCGCGGACCGGGGAGTTTCTGGGCCGAACCGCTGGCAGCTGGGGTAAGAGAGGCGGCCAAAGAACCTGATCTTTTCCCGACAGTTGAAGTCTGTTCTGACCCGGTCTGACCCTACTCGGCTCGGTCGGTCACGGCTGTAATCCCGCTGAGCTAAGGGTGCCTGTCACGATGCGCGCAGCTTCACAGTGGGCCGAGCCGGATCGGGCCGAGCCGGGCTAATATGTGAGCTCGGATGAGTGATTTTCATTAACACAGCTGAAGATGTCAGAATAAAGCAGATTCACCCTCTGCGCCCCCAGGCGCGCCGAGTTCATGTTTAATTATGTAAAATCCTCTGCAACTCTGTGACGGTACTACAACATACTGCAGTATTTATGCTGCTGTACACCACAGCCTGCACACACTGTGTACTAATGCACACATTCAACACTAACAACATTTAATAACCATCGTGTTCATATTGATTTTAATCGTTGATGAGATTTAATGAGTCTGAGTGAAGCTCAGAGGGAAGACTGCTTATAAGATTTCTACAGTCATGACTGAGGCAAAATCGTTACTTATCATTTATTTACAAAAGACTAAGAGGCAGATTTAGGATCATCATCCTAACCCAGCAAAGATTTTAATAAAAGAGTTTGTCCGTTCCGTCGTGACTACGAAAAACAAAACTGTTTTAAAAGCTTTCAGTCTTAACATGAAAATAGGATCAACACACTGAGGATTTATTAATAAATTTCCAGTTTAAAAAGTTCAGTAATGCTGATGACATCGCAACCGTGACTGAATTAATGTCTCTGGGGTTACAGCCAACAGTATCAAAGACACAACTCATCAGAACTGTTCTCCTCACTTCCACCTTCATGTCCTCATTTTTGGGCTTTCTAGAGCAGCTCAGCATGACTCTGTTCCAAATAATCCTCCTTCATCTGAGCCTGGGCCTTGGTCTTAAGTTCATCTTGTTTGAAGGAAGCCATTTTGGCTCCTTAGTTTTAGGTCCCTGTGGAGCAGGAGTTATCTGACAGGAAGTGAGAAAAACCGGTTGATTTTTAAATGATTTAGGCTACGTCTACACTAGCCCAGATAAATTAGTTTGAAAACGTTCCGCGTCCACACTATCGTTTTCATCCATTTTCACAGAGGTGTGCGTCCACATTGAAACGGCCAAAAACGCTTACATTCCAGTTCTGTGCATGCGTGAAAAATAAGAAGATTCAACCTGCCTCATTTCTCTTTTTTCTTTTTTTTTCTTTTTATAAACTTTCAGGTGTTCTGGGAATCCATCCTACCTGAAAAAAACATCCTACCCAATGTTTCTGCGCAGACGCAGCGCATGCGCACAACACCGACACCGAATTAGCTTCTTTTTCTCTCACCCATCCGGAATACTTAAGGTTATGGGTAGGGTTAGGTTTAGTTGCAAGTCACTGTCAAAATTATAATGCAGGTAGGACGTTTTGTCAGAGTAGGATGGTTTCTCAGAACACTGGCTCTTTGAAACGTTGCAGCAAAACGTCGAGGAAAAGCAGAGGTTTTTTTTAAAGGACTAACAATGAGGTGGAGTTGTTGCTGTGAGTAACACAAAAGTACAAAGTTTAAAAAGCGAGTGAGAATTAAAGAATTTGAAGAAAAGCTCTCTGGAGCATGTGCAGACTGATATTAATCTTTAATAGGGCTGTCAAAATTGAGAACAGACAAAACAACTGCTGTAAATTGCCCTCTGCTATTTTAGTTTAATTGGTCACATGACTGCATCACATGACTAAAATGTGTCATTGTTTTCAAAAAGGCTCCGGGTTTGCTGTCCACACTGCAACGCAAAAATGGGATTTTCAAATGTATCTGCTTTGGAGAGCGTTTTCAAAACGTGGTTTTCCTTGACCAAAAACGCCATCTCAGTGTGGACAGAGAGAAAAAGATGCATTTTCAAACAAAAACGTATTAGTGTGGACATGGCCTTAGTCTGTTCAGCATCAGTGCGAAGTGATGCTGGATGTTTAGGCAGAAGTCTGAGCTGATAATGATACAAAGCTGATAAAACACAGCCTGACAGGAAAAAAATGAACACACAGATAACAGACTGAACTTAACAATACATGCTGCTTTAATTACTGTAAACCCTCTCTAATGCATACAAAAGTACTACTTTGTAACTCATTTTTTTGGCTTACACATTCACCAAACAATATCTTGGTTTAATCCTGGAAAAGGGATCCTTTAGAGTTTGTGTCAGGAAAGACATCTGATGAAAAGTATTTGCCAAATCAGGTATTCTCGTGAATACAGGAGCTGGGCGTAGCTTTTATTTAGAAAAGTTTTTTCTTTTTTTTCCCATGTACATACTAATTTAACTCTTTACAAACACCAGTATGGTTTCTGTAAACCCCCCCCCTCTACCAACCAAATTAAACAAACAAAACACCCCCTCTTCATTCCTTCACCATATCAAATTTAACTGAATAATAAGAATTTTAATTGACCAGTCAGCAGTTCCTGTTTACTGGAAAAGCTCCAGAATATGATCACATTTCAGGTTCCTCAGTAGTCTGTTCTAGGGCCATTAAAGTTCTTCGTGTATAAAAAAACATGGCACTCCAATCAGTTACTTGCCAGAGGTTTCTTCCTGTTAAAAGAGAGTTTTTCCTTCCCACTGTCACCAAAGTGCTTGCTCATAGAGGGTCATATGACTGTTGGGTTTTTCTGTATCTATTACTACCTTACAGTATAAGGTGCCTTGAGGTGACTGTTGTGATTAGGCGCTGTATTAATAAAATTTGAGTTAAAATGAAGCCTAGAAGACAGCTAACAGTTATGTCTGTGAAGGTTCTCAGTCATCCAGGTCATCGTAGTCAAAGGGGCTTGCAAAGAAAAGCGTCTGGACTTCTTTAAGTTGCTTGAAGACGTTTCACCTCTCATCCGAGAAACTTCTTCAGTTCTGAACTGAAGAAGTTCTGAAGAAGTCCAGACGCTTTTCTTTGCAAGCTCCTTTTAGCTAACAGTTATATCCCCCTGCCACACCCCTAATAATCAGGCTATAAGACTTATAGCTGCTACACCTGAAGTCTGATTGCTAGTTTGATGCTTTGTGCTTGTCCAGCTCTTTCAGATTACACAAAGGCATGTTTGTTTTTTGTTTTGTTTTTTTTTAATGAAAAAGCTGTGTTTCTTTATTGCTGCATTGCACCTGTGGCATTAGGTTCTTTCAGTAAAGAGTTTGCATGTTTTCCCTGTGTGTGACTCCCACCAGGGGCAGGGATAGCTCAGTAGGTAGAGTGGTGGCCCCATGATCGGAAGGTCGGGGGTTCGACTCCACTGAACGGCTACCCTGAGGTACCCCTGAGCAAGGTACCGTCCCTACACACTGCTCCCCGGGCGCTGCACTGGCGGCTGCCCA